CACTAAATGCTCATATATACACATGTACTCATAATCTGCTCCTTCCCTGCATTTTCTATTTTAGTGAAGGACAGTGTCATCCACCAAACTGCTCAAACCAGAAACACTGTAGTCATCATGTTATCTCCTCCCATTCCCTGTCATTCGCAATTCACTAAAATTCTGTAAATTCTAAAATCCAAAGTCTTTTAATCCAGACCCTCTTTTAATCTCCTCTACTTCTGGGATGTAGCCTATTCAAGAGACTTTCTTATGAACCTCTGTCTTTAATTTCAACCACCTATACTTCACTTCTAATTCTTTCTAAAATGGAACTCTTCCATGTCATTCTCTGTCTTAAGAGAGGTTTATGTGTCACCAAAACCTACAGAATAAAATGGCAACTCATGATGGCATATAAGTCCCATGGATAAAGTTTTTTTTTTTTTACTTTGATGATAATATTTTTATAGTAGAGAAACACTGGAAAGAAGATAAAAGCCCAATAAAAAGGGAATGGTTAAGAAATTTGTAGTACATTAACTTGATAAGTGAATTCACTTAAACTATTAAAATAATAATTGTAAATAAATGGTGATGTATTCATATTGCACACTCATTTGAAACCAGATTTTATAAAAGTAATTTACTAACTCCTTCAATCCAGTGGATTAAGTACTAAAAATGGCCATTAGCTTTTAAAAAAAAATACTAAAACTAAATGCTAAAATATCACATGTTTTCTCTAATTAATTTATGACATAGGAAAATAAAAGCCACCCAACCTAAAAACTAAATGAAAACTAAACTCTGGGGCAAAAAAGATGAGCAAGCACTGGAGCTGTATTTCACTACTGTTAACCAGCTCAATTTGAATTTAAGTTTTTATAACCTCTTGAGAAGTACTGAAAGTGGGCAATCTATCAGGCAATTCTTCCCATAAAGTTGAATTCTCAAAGGGCTATGCTCTCAGGCTAAGGATGAAGCAGAAATAAACTGACTTTTTGCTTCAAATATTTAAGAAATTTTCTTGTGTGGAAACTTAATTATGAGTAGAGGAAGCAAAGTTCAGATGTCTTCTGAGAACTGGTCATGACAACCAACATTTATGGGAGTTTGTACCCATAGCTTATATTACTTGATAGATTTCAAAAAAAAAATAGTTTTTTAATTCTCAAGCTGAGGTTTGTTTTACAAGATATCAAAACTTCATGTGAAGCTGACAGAATTAAGAAAATAAGGTATTGTCATAATGACAAACTAATTAACCAAAGGAACAAACTATATCGCCCAGAATTTGACCAAAACATATGTGGAAACTTGGTTTTTAAGAGGACTTACATTGCAAATCAAAAGTGAATTTTTGATAAATTGTTCTGAGACCATTGATTATGCTTATTTAAAAGAAAGAAGGAAAATGTTTACCTCACATCATGTACCAAGTCAATTCCAGAGGTTATGAAAGCCTAATTATGGAAAGCAGAACTCTTAACATTTTTGGAACACAATGTAGGAGAATATACTTAATACTGTGAAAGGGAATTTTACTTAACAAAAAATATGACATGGGCCCTCCTGGGTGATGCAAAGGGTTAGGACGCAGCACTGCAAGCTGACCGCAGCCCCTTCAATGCGAGTAAGACCGTCAGCCCCGGAAGTGACCCACATGGCGCAGCAGACCTCTCCTGACCTCCCCACTACTCCCCTCAGCAGTGTACTTTGTAGATCTGCCTGTCCTGCTCCCCACTCTGTCTCTGGTGAAGCCTCTCACCACCCCTGCACCTCTGGGCTGTACCCCAGTTCTGAATGAATAAATAAACCTTAAAAAAAAAATGACAGGCATAAATCTTAAAAGACAGATTGATAATTGACCACATGAAAATGAATATTCATTTTCATGTGGTCAATTATCAATCTGTTTATCACTAAACTATTAGTAGATGAAGATAGTAAAAAACAGAATGGAATAAGATATCCCATAAAACTGAAAGAATAACATCTAAGATTATATAAAGAACTACTCAAATCAATAAGGAAAAAAAAAAACAAAAAACTCAAGAGAAAGCTAAGCAAAAGACCTGAATAAGCCTTTCACTAGAAAATAAACTATAGAAAATTATGTTCTGCCTTAACAATTGGAACAATGCATACATAATCCAAATAAGAAAACATTTCACACCGAGCAGCATAACAAAAAATTATATAATCTATAATATCAAACACTGACAAGGGTGTAAAACAGCTAAAATTTATACACATTGCTGGTAGGGCATAATTTGGTCCAAGCACTTTGAAAAAAAACTTGGAATTACCTGCACATCTGAAGAGATATACATTTTGTGACCAAGCAGAGTTACTCCTAGATACCAATCTCAAAGAAACTCTTGAACAATCTTAACAGAAATTGTGTGTTACAAAGATTTTTTACATTATCTTTTTTTTTCAGCTTTTTTTTTAAAGCTGTATTTATACATACAGAACAGGGGTACAGGCCAGAGGAGCAGAAGTGGTAAGAGGATTTACTAGAGACAGAGTGGGGAGCAGAACAGTCAGATTAACAAAGTATACTGCTGAGGGGAGCAGTGGGTGAGAAAGGAGAGGTCTGCTGAGCCACGTAGATCACCTCTGGGGCAGGGATGGAACTCACACTGAAGTGTCTGCGGCGAGGTTGCAGTGCTGCTCTTTCACATGCTGCGCCACCAGGGAGGGCCTACATTATCATTTATAATGGGGAAAATTTTTAATAATCCCAAAGGTTCACTGTAGACAGTAAGTATTTCTCATAATGGAATGCTTTATAGTCATGCAGATGAAGACAGTATAGCACACCGTGACAGGGAAAAACAGAGGTGCTTAATGTTGGCTGAGAAAAAGCCCAAATTGTGCACAATGGACTATGGTGGTAGACTATGGGTGTCTTGGTGGTGAGAGTGATGTGGTAACAACACCTCAGGGAGCTGTACTTCCAATCCACACACAATGATGTAAAACCGAAATCACAGGAGAATACATTAAGTATGAGTCTATTTAAATATAGATTAAAAATAACCACTAAACTATATGTTGTATAGGGATACAATCAGGATATGATAAAATTATAAGGAAAATCAAGTACATAACACAAGATTTACGATGATGGCCACAAGAATTAGGATGGTGGTCATGTGACCTCCAGGAGGTGAGAAAGAGGACTGAGAAAGAAAAAAGCACACAGGGACCTTCAAAGATAACGGTTATATTCTTTATCTTAAAGTGAATGATAGGTATAAAGGTACTGATTCTATATTGATTCTTTATGCAATTTATAAATTTTTGTAGGTATTCAACATTGGTTTAAAAGAATACTTGCACATGAAAATGCATATTTGTTATAATGATCATTACAAATTATACTTTACAGCACCACAGAAATATACTCTTGATGTGCTATTTAGAAATAGAATTTTAAAATTATATATCAAAAGCTATGATCACAAAACGCACATTATAGTTGTAAATGGATACAAACTAAATATAAGCAAGGAAAAAAAGACACTTGATTTTTTTCTTTAAATTTTCTTCATTTTATTTCCATCAGTGTGGTCATAATTCTGTGCCAATGATAAAATGATATCATTAAAACATAAATGTGATGTTCTGAATAGGTCCTTCCTTAAAGCTAGTTGACCATAGGTCAGATAACCAAGGTACCACTTTCCCTTGGTGGCAGTTCATCTCAACTGTTCATAAAGTCTCCAAGGAAAAAAATCAAGTTCTATATAACTGCACTTGTGAACTTTGCTTTACATAGCAACTGAAACACGCCTCATCGGCCTTCTTCATCCATGCTACCTGGGACCACAACCCCGGCAGGCACAGAAACTGGTACCTGGACAGCTGGGAAAGGACACTCCCAGAAATATTTCCTAAGGCCAGCTTTGCAACCCAGTGACCTCCATCTCAGACACTGATAGGAAGTCTACAGAAGAGAAAGACTATAACCAACTTACTCTTTGTTATAAAGGACTAAGGAGAGGGAATGTGGTTTAAGGCAACTGTGCCAGGTTCTGTTTAATTTATAACCAAAACTGGCCTTACTATTCTGCATTTAAGGTCATTAGAAACACTCATATTATCTCAACCATGTTAAAAAATTATCTAGATGTTTCTCAAAGAGACATTAAAAAAGGAATCTTGAGAGACATTAAGTTATTGTTGTAACTATCCAAATATCCAGTGTGCAAAAGAATAGAAAGTGAAGTACAAATTAGAGATGGTGTTGAAATGACATTAAGTCACAACTGAAGTGTTCATACCATCAAACTTAGAAGAAAAAAATCAATACTGCTATATTGAAGTTAAGAATAAATTAGAGGCATGTAAAAGTCTGGAATAACAATATGCTATAAAAATTACTGATATAAAAATATGCCATTTAACAAATTTGATACTACAGAGGCATAAAATTCCACATAGAGTCTGGAAGCAACCATGTGAACATAAGGAGGTAGCTGGGGTATTGCCAACATGGTTAATTCAGAAAGAAACTCAAATTTATAACTGGTTAGGTTTAATTTCTGTTTTGAAGATAAATTACATGCCAGAAATCTATATGCTTCAGAAAAATTTCTACTGATATTTAAAGACAAAAACTGGACAATAAAATGAATATATTTTCAGTAAATACCTCTCCTCTTTTCTCCCAGATCTCATGAACACTTCAAGTCACACATGATAGCGTGAGCTCACACATATATTCATAAGCACATCCCCTAGATTTTTAGTAATAAATAGTTCTGGATTACCAGGTACAGGACAGTAGATCCATACAAAATCTTCCTATTGTTTAAAAACTAGCTGTATCATTTTGGTGTTCAAATATTTTTGAAGAAATTAATTTAGTACAAATTGGAAAAGAGACCCAACTTGATTGACAGTTTGGAGTTTGCATTTCCACCATTTGATCATAGCCAAAATGCAAATGTGATTAAGTTCTGAAAGACAGGAATCTGCAAAGTGCCTGCAGGATATTAGGATCTTACCTCTAGGTGCTATCCAGTGAAGGTATCAATGTGGACCTCGCAGGAGCCATTTAGACTAGGCAAGGGAAAATATCATCTTTATTCCATGTTCAGTCCATTGGTGAAACAGGCATTTGAAGGTAAGTTTCCGACTATGTCTGGAATAAATAGAAAAAGAAAAAACTCAAACCATTTGTCTGCTATGGGCATCCAACAAGAAAATGGCAGTAGAGGCATCACATGGTTTCCATCTTTTCCCCACAGAAACTCCATAGTTACCTACATAATTAAGAGGTAATACATGCTCATATATAAACACACTACTATAAGAGTGTGTCTCTGTGCTATGAATCATGTACATAAAAGTAGCATAACTATAAATCCATTTGTATAATCATTCAACAGAGTTACTCAGTAGTTCATTTGGAAAAAATCTATTTTTATGTATCCACTTTATAAATTAAGTTATAATTATGTGAACAATACATTGTTCTAGGTATCTGAAGATAATAAGATGCTCCCCCAAAATTCACAAGGTAGACTGGAAAGATACAAATCATCACATCAAGGAAAGGAGCATACAAAACATTAAATAGAAGACACAAAGAAAAACTAACTCTTCCAAATAGAACTCACAGAGATTTCTTAGAAAAGATGATACTGCTTTTGATCTTGAAAGACAAGTTATTGTCAAGTGAGACTGGTCAAGGACATTTCATTCACTGATTAATCAATAAACAGGGTCTTTCTTGTTCCAGGTCTATGAAGATTAGTGGGAATAAAAATAAATGCCAATCCACCAGGAAACAGGGTTTACAAGTAAAGAAACACATTGGAATGGAATGGTAATAAGGATTGTGACTTAAAAGGATATGTCAGGCTCTCCCTGGTGGTGCCATGGGTTAAAGCACAGCACTAAGAAGCTGAAGCTACTTCAGCATAAATTCGATCCCCACCCCGGAGGTGACCCACATGGTGTGTCAGACCTCTCCTGACCCAACCGCTGCTCCCCTCAGCAGTATACTTCGTTGATTTGCCTGTTCTGCTCTCTACTCTGTCTCTGGTGAATCCTCTTACCATGCCTACCCTCTGGCCTATACCCCGATTCTGTATGCACAAATAAATAAGTCTTTTTTTTAAAAAAAAGTTAAACATATCTCTATAATATGACTAATAAATTCCTCTCATATTTTCCTGAAAGAAATGAAAATGCACATATACATAGAGCTTCATATAAAAATGTTCACAGCCGTTTTAGTCATTATAGCCAAAAACTGGAAACAATCCAAATGCCCATTAACAGGGAAGGGAACTTTTCCAAACCAGAGTACACTCAAAACTGAAGTATATTCAAGGAACACTATGCAGCAATTTAAAAATGATAGAACTACTAACACATTTTACATGACTAAAACTCGAAAATATTATGCTCAGGGAAAGAACCAAACACATAAAAAAAAGCTCACAGTACATGATCCCATTTATAAAATCATGACAGATTAAACAAAAGTAACCGGTGGGACTAGAAATCAGATCAGTGGTCACTGCGATGGACATTGGCCAGGAAAGGGCATGAGAGAACATTCAGAGCTGATGAAAACATTTTATTTTGATTTGCAGTCATCAAAACTGATTAAGCTTAAAAAAAATTAGTCTTTTGCTGTACAGAATATATATTTGAACTTTTTTAAGGTTAGATTTTAGGAGGTACCTACCTCCCTAGACATAACTTTTTTTTTTTTTTTTAAGATTTATTTATTTGTACATACAGAACTGGGGTACAGGCCAGAGGCTCAGGGGCGGTGAGAGGCTTCACCAGAGACAGAGTGGGGAGCAGAACAGGCAGATCGACGAAGTACACTGCTGAGGGGAGCAGCGGGCGGGTCAGGAGAGGTCTGCCACACCATGTGGTCACCTCCGGGGCAGGCGGGAATCAAACTCATGCAGAAGTGGCTTTAGCTTCTCAGTGCAGTGCTTTAACCCGCTGCGCCACCAGGGAGGGCCCCTAGACATAACTTTAAAAAATATAACGTTTTCCTAAAGTGCTGGTTCTGCACTGAATGTTTATATACATCGAGCTTGATTCTCCCTAACTTCCACAAACCTCCTGTGCTGAGATTGGAGTAGTGGACTCCTCCTATTGGCCCAAAATGTTGCCTCAGATCCTACGGAACAGAGGAGGGATCGTAGCATTTCAGAAGAAACTCTGATGACACGGTGGGACGAGTCCAAGAAACACTAACGTAGTTTTAGCACCCTACTCTGGGACAGTCGTCTGGGCCTGACTTGCCAGGTGAAAAACCACATAAGGTTTTTCTTCACAGCCACCCCCTCAACCCAAGATGTGGTGGGACTGCCTTATGTTTTCAACTTACCATAAACTGAATAAAATCCCCAATTCATTGACTGAAAATTTTCCATTTCCATCTATGGAATACTCAGCTTTGAGTAGAATATTGGCTAGATGAAGCCACCTGAGCTTTACTCTCACAAAAGAGTTTCCAAAGAAAACAACACAACTGACTTTCACTTATGTTTTCTTCTCACAAGTCCATTAAGTCATTGGTACCAACCTCAAGCTGGTTTCACATCCCAAAATAATCAATTTGAGCCATAATTCCTGACAACAGCTGGGACAAATCAAGCATGTTATGATCCTCAGGACTGAAGTCTTTGGCCATACGTGTAAGTGGCTGAAAAAGTTCAGCAAAGAAATTTGACAACTTTATTTTAAAGTGCTTATTCAAATGCTGAGACAAGTGTTAACTGGATTTTAGAGACATTTGGAGTAAGAATGGAAGTTTGGTGTACTGTGGTCTCAGGAACACACTGTGACTTCTCAAATATAGAAGCAGTCTACTTATTAAATTTTTTGGGGAAAAAGGCATCTTGATGCATTTAGGTCCTGAGTCTACTTATTTACAAATGGAGAGGTATTGCAGAATCTGATTCTAAATGTTCAATTGCAAAAGTAGTTTCTCTGCCCATGCCCACAAATATAGAGATAGGGTGGCTTTACATCTGATTTGTGTCCATCTCTAGCAATTATGTTCTGAAAGTAACTACTTTATGGTGACAACAGCCTTATGATCTACATAGTGATTTCTTCCTGGTGGCTATCTACTAGTATTTAATTCAGTAAAATGTATATGAGGTGCTAAGAGAACTATATGTAATGATTAAATTTAATTTCCAATTTTCTTGTACTAATATCCTGCTATCTCTGTGACTACTTATTTTTAGGTTCAACTTATCTTACCCAACGGTGCTGTTCTACACTATCTCCCCCACTTCTCCACTCACCTCCTACCTACTTTGATTTTGACTCTTCTTAGTCTTACAACTGCAATCCTTTTGTCTTTTTTTTTTTTTAATTCTAATCCTACTGTTTACTAGACACTTGGATATTTTCACTTGAATAATGTATCATGCCCGCTAACCCTGCATATTAAGTCAACACCACTCCTTGCTTTCCATAACATCCCTTAAAGTACCACTAGGCTGCGAGGGTCCCACATCCAAAACCTTAACTGCTGATTTATTTTTCTCCTTTCTTCATCTATACCCCACCAGTCATTGAGTCCTGGTAAATCCCATTTCATAATCTCCTTCTGTATGGCCATCACTATTGTTGAATGAATCAAGATCTGTCTCCTGGACTTCTGCACTGGGCTAGCTCTTCCAGTTTTCCTAAAAGCCCACTTCCTATCTGTTCTCCTCATAGAGGCAAGTACATGCATTTCAAAATGCAAAACTAAGCATGTCACCTCCCAGTTAAAATGCAAAACTAAGCATGTCACCTCCCAGTTAAAATATCTCAATGTTGGCCCTCCCTGGTGGCGCAGCGGGTTAAAGCACAGCACTAAGAAGCTAAAGCCACTTCCACATGAGTTCGATTCCCGCCTGCCCCAGAGGTGACCACATGGAATGGCAGACCTCTCCTGACCCGCCCGCTGCTCCCCTCAGCAGTGTGCTTCGTCAATCTGTCTGTTCTGCTCCCCACTCTGTCTCTGGTGAAGCCTCTCGCCACCCCTGAGCCTTCGGCCTGTACCCCAGTTCTGTATGCACAAATAAATAAATCTTTAATATATATATATATATCCCAATGTCTTCTAAATATTCCTGAAATTTAAAAAAAATCCAATATTGCTAGTCCTGCCTTTCTTCCAGTCTCATGTCAGCCCCTCTTTACTCCACCTGCCATAAACTAACCCTTCCATCCTTTGACACTTCCTTTAACCCTTCCATCCTTTGACACTTCCTTTAACATATGCTTTCTGCCACCACAGGGCCTTTGCATATGCTGTTGCCATGTTCTGAAATTCCATTTTCCTTTTCTGCACCTCCTTTTGCATAATTTACTTCTACTCAGTATCCCTTCTCGAGTCAAACATTATTATTTTTCTTCAGAGAAAAGCTTTCTTGATCACTATCTGCCAATGCAGATAAGAGTCCATCTTGTTATAAATTCTCATATCATGCTGTGTTTTTCCTTCATAGCATTCTCATACTCCTTTGTAATTAATCTCTATATGATTATTTGATGAACACCTGCCTCCTTTACCAGTCTAGAAACTCTAGAATGGCAACATTCCTGACCGTTTGGTTCACTATTAAATCACTGGCATGTATCACATTGCCTTGTACTTACTGACATCTCAAAGAGCATGTATGGAATTCATGAATGAAGGTCTGGCACATTTGTCCTTTTCACATTTAGGTGACCAAAATATTGCTTTCTTTGTGACTCTTTTCTGATTAACAATTATTCAATGCTTATTGGTTAAAATGAAAAATCTTAACTCTAACTCAGCCATCACTCCATGACCAGTTCATCCCTTGCATATCTTTCCAAGTTTCCTAGGTCACCTCCCTACTAAATTCTCCAGCTCAGCCCATTGACATATGAATTCAAGGCTGCCCACAGGTCATCATGCATAGTGTACACTGAACAACTTGTAGGGTGCCACTTATGTCAGAGTCTATTCGCATGCCTCCCTTGGAGTCACATGGGACACAAGTGGTGGAGCCAAACACGGCAGCCCCACAAAGCATCTCCTTAAATTTATGCTCTTTTTTTTTAAGTTTTTTTTTATTAAATAAGATTTCTTTCTTTATGCATATGGAACTGGGTACAGGCCAGAGGAG